TGTGGCGTGGGTAACTAGATACAAAGGACTCAGTTGAAGACAGTGGCAGAAGGTGAGACAAGACCTGCCGTCTCCTTGGGGTCTAGTTCAAGATCACAGACCTTCGTTGAGATTCAGGACATATAATGACCCCAGAGATTCAGAGCACAGTCATATTTTGAGCAGAAGTCTAGGGGCAAGTTGTGTGAGAGAGGCTCACTGCTGACACCCACGGATTTCAGTTTCCCCTTGTGTCAAATGTAACTTCAGCACTACAGAGCTCAGAGGGATCATTCCTAGCCTGTGACTCTTAGCACTCTACCATGGTCCCTCTGCACTTCCACTTAAGTTGCCTGTCCCAGGACCCCACATAGGGGTAGGCTCACCTGTGAAGAACCACCATCTATATGGACTTGACATCTTACCTACAGTTCACAGCTCAGCTTATCTGTCTTCTGAATCCAGACTCCTCATTTTCTCATTTAATGACCTCCTTACCTGAAAGCCCACATGGTCTCATATTCAGAGTTGGTATGTGATGTGCAGCTCCTGGTCTTGGTTGTACTATATATCCTTCTTCGGTAGGTGAATGCACACAGGGTGTGCTTCTTGAGCCAGGAAATGATGAAAAACTGTCTATGGGAAGAGACAGTGGTGGTGTCATTATCAGATAGGTAGTGATAGGAACATGGGGAGCAAGGCTGGGGTCCAGTGTGCCTCCCCTGATTCGCTTCTCCAGAGTGTCATACAGAGAATGATGCTCTTGCAGATGCTGCATGGAAATGGTCCTGCTCTGGGACCATGAAGTTCATATACTTATGTTGGTCTACTCTAGTACGTGTGAGTCTCCATTCCTCTCTAGGCCCGAGACTCGTCATGTGGTTCTCTGTATTTCTATCCCACAGAAATAGGTAGTATCTCATAGAGTAGCTTAGCCTGGCCTCTAGCTCAGACTCTGGCAGCCGTAATTTTGCAGGTTGTGATATTATAGGATTCTGTATACAACAAGCTACTAATCTTATTTTTGAAGCCATATGATTTTTCTTAGTTTCCAATCTGAAACTTATATGGATAGATATTACCCATTAGGCAGACAGATTTTGATAAATTTCTAGGGGTGCTGAGGTCCAGGTTTCAAGTCATATCTGACAGTCACTAAGTGGCCTCCTTTGGGAAGCAATGTGCATCTTTAAATCACCATGTTGATAGTGAGTGAAACTTGAGCATGGAAGCTCAGGGTAGAGTGGAACCCTTTAAATGGAACATCAGGGAAGCTGGGAACAGTGTTGAAAAAGAAAAGAAAGGCACGGATGCTGGGGGGAGCCTAAGAGGAAAAGTCTCCTGGGCTTTAGAGACATGAGCAGTCGAATCTCTACGACAGTGTTCTCAGTAGAGACTTACCCATGCCCTGGGTACAAGGGTCTTCTTGGGTACAGCCTGAAGATGTGGGATGTGAATATGCTGTGTGTGGCAGCTTAGCAAAGGGTAATCATGGTGAATGCTCTGATAATGAAACTGAGACCAAGACTGTTGAAGGGCTTTTCCCATGTCAGACATTATATAAAGAAAGGTGACAATCAGGGGCAATGGCTTTTGACTCTGTAGCCTTGGTTTCTGAGTATTAATGTGGAATGGAAAGAATAGACTTGAAGGGAGAGACAAGGGTTAGGTGTGGGCAGGACTTTCACAGAGCAGCAGAAGGATGAGGCAGGAGTCAATCTTGAATAAGGCTCCCATTGTTCTAGATTCCAGGCCTGAGGATATCTGTATGTGCTGTGATTTTGAACAAATAAACCTCTCTGTCTGGACCCTGTGTACTGAAGAGGTGTGACATCTTAAATGCTTATGAAGAAGAAGACTCAAGGGTGTGTTCTGGGAAGGTGAGAATGGAATAAGGGAGGTCTGTAGAAGACACTGGCTGAAGCTGAGAGACAACCCTACCGTCTCCTTGGTGTCCCTGTCAGGAGGAAAGACCTTCTTTGCATTTCAGGACATGCATGTCCCCTGAGGTCTTTAGGGCCAACTAAGATTCTGAACTGAGCTCTGCGTGCCACTTAGACCAGGCTCACTGTTGACCACCATGGTTCTGCTTCTCATCGGCCAAATGCAACGTCAGCGCTGTAAAGCCCTTAGGAACCATTTCTAATGTGTGTCCCTTAGCACTTCACCATGGCCTCTAGGATCTTCCACCTAAGTTATCTTTCCCAGGTCCCACTTCAGGTAGATGTTTAGAAACACCATTAAATGGACTTAAAGTCAAAACCACAGCTACCAGGTTAGCTTACCTTTTTTTCTGAATATATAATCTTAATGTTCTCATTAAACAAGTCACTTACCTGAAAGAGGGTGTCTCCTACAAATTTCTTGGCCTGGGCTCAGTGTTTGTACAGAATCTCATGGGGTAGCTCTATCCAGTGTGGGTTTGCTTGTGGAGCCAAGAGATCAAAGAAAGGCTATGGAAAGAGACAGTGGTTGTTTTCTTCCCAGCTAGGGGGCAGTAGCAGCCAGCAGAGCACGAGTAAGGTCTTCCTGCTTAATCTCATAACTTTATCCAAAGTCTCACAAAGGGAATGATGCTTTTAGGGCTGCTGACTCGAAAGGGAGCTGCTCTGGCACCATGAGGATGACACTCATGCTGGCCTACTCCATTCCTTTGTGTGAATCTCCATTCCTCTTTGAGCTGCAGATCCCTCATGTGGATACCTGAGCTACTATTTCACAAGGACAGGTAGGATCTCACTGTGTAGTTCAGGTTTGCCTGGAGATCAGGCTCCTATTCCCTTAATCTCACAGGTTCTGGGATTATAGGATATGTCTGCAGCAGGTTAATGATCTTAGTTTTGAAGCCATATGTCTTTTCTTAGTCTTCAAGCTAAAACATCTAGGTGGGAACAGCAGTGTTCATCAATCAGAGAGATTTGGACAAAGTCCTCAGAGTCTGAGGCACACATTTCATATAATAACTTTTGGTCACTAAGTGGCATGGTAGGGATTATAGGAATCTGTAGGACACAGTTTTGATAAACAGAGGGACTTGAGCATGGAAGTAGAGGATGGTGTGTTTTGTTTTAAATGGAACAACTTTGAAGCTTGGAACAGTGTGGGGTAATAAGTCCCCATGGGCAGGGGTCTTCTTGTGTGCAGCTTGAAGATTATTGACATGTATATATTGTGGGGTTAGCTAAGCAATGGGTAAGCATTGTGAATGCTCAGATAATGAAACTGAGACACATATTGTTGAAGGGATTTTTCCATGTCACATATTAAATGATGCCAAGGTGACAACCAGGGCAATGGCTTTTGACTCTATAGCCTTTGTTTCTGAGGCTTAATGTGGGGTGGAAAGAATGGACTGTGAAGGGAAAAACAAGGGTTAGATGTGAGCAGGATTTTCACAGAGTAGCAGAAGGATGAAGGAGGAAGTCATTTCTCTGATCCCATTGTTCTAGATTCCAGCCCTGACTCTGTCTCTTTGTGCTGTGAGCTTGGACAAATTAACCTCTCTCTCTAGTCCTTGTGCACTGGAAAGATATGACTGCTTTGATGTTTGAGAAGAGGAAGAAGCAAGGGTGTGTGCCCTCTGTAAATGAGAATAAAATAAGGGAAGTCAATTGGAGAAACTGGCTACAATTGATTTAAGAGCCTGTCCTCTTCTTGGTGTCCATCTCAGGAGAAGAGAACTTCTTTGTGCTTTAGGACATATATAACCTCTGGAATTTCAGAGCTCAGTCATCTTTTCAGGTGAACTCTGATGCCAGTTGTGTTAGGCTCTCACTGCTGATTCCCATGGATTTTAATTTCTTCTTGTGTTAAATGCAATTTTAGCATTACATAGCCCAGAGTGATTATTTCTAGACTGTGGATCTCAGCACCCCATGATGGCTCTTCTGCCCTTCCATTCAGTTCTCTTATTTCTGGTCCCTATATAGGTGAAGGCTCATTTGTGAAGAACCACCATCTATGCAGACTTTAAGTCCCGTTCACAGCTCCCACTTTTCTTTTCTTTATCTCTGCATAAGACTGATCATGTTCCCATTTAACAAGTTTCTTTATTCTCATCTGATTTTCTCTGAGATTCATGGCCTGAGCACAGTGATTCTGGTGAGCTGCTTTGCTAAGGGACTTCATGTTAATTGCCCCTGCCCTGGAGCCTGAAATGAGGAATAATGGGCTCTGGGAAGGAAAACAGTTGTGTGGTTATCAGAAATACAGAGGTAGGAGCCAGGGGAGCAAGTCTGGGTTCCTTCCTCCTTACCCTGAAAACCTTCATCACTGTCACATGGGAAGAACAATGCTCTCAGATGCTGATGAGAAAAGGTCCTGCTCTGGGAGGAATTCACACCTCTGTCCTAGTTCTACATTAGTCCTCTGTGGGAGTCTCTAGTCTTCTCTCTGAGCCTCACATCCCTTATGTGTAGCTCTGAGCCTTTTTCTCACAGGGTTTAAACTATAATAACAACAGCAGCAGCAATTACTTGAGCTGGTACTTATAATTATTGAACTTTTGTTGAATGTTAGACTATTTAATATTCAACAAGGATTATCACTTTTCTTCCACAGCCCAAGGAGACAGATGTTTATCCTCCTCCCATTTTGCAGATGGAGACATGGAGGCTGAGGGCTGTATAGTAGTCACTGGGTGGTAAAGCCTAGAATGGAGTCTGCCTCTGCCCAGCTCCAAAGTCTGGGCTTGTAACTTAAGTGTCACCTAGCTTTCCTTTTGGTAGCTGGTTTGAACCTTGTGCTCACCCCTTTCAGAGCCATTTTGAATGCCAGCCTCTCCCCACTACTGCAGCTTCACAGTGCTCTTTCCCAAGAGCCCAAGAATGCACTCCTATAGAAGAGGGTGTGGGGCTCTAAGGTTCACTTAGGGGTTTCTGCATGCCTTCTGGTTCCAGGCTCTCCTGGGCCTGTGAATCCTTTTGACAGGATGTTAGCCCACCCATGGACACCCAGGCAGGAGGTTCAGTGGTGATGAAGTGGTCACAGTAGTGATGGGTTGTGATCCTTGGTGTACTTACTTAGAATCAAGTCCCTCTTTGCCTGGGCTTTGGTCTGCTGCAGCTCCCAGTGCTTCCACTTCCTCCTTTTGTGGATGAGGTCCAAGTCCTCTTGGTCCTTATGCTGAGCCTCCTCTGTGCCACTCGCCTTCTTGGACTGAGCTGCTTCCATGGTGATAGAGTCCCCAGATGATGCTTGGCTGTACAGCTCCCACAGGTCCTGCTCCACGTCTCCCTTCTCCTGTTGCTCCGAGCAGGAGGCCAGTGGATCCTTGTCTCTGCTGGACATTTTTGATCTAGGAAATGGGTGTTTGATTGGAACTGATAGAGGAGAGATGGAAATAATAGAAAGAGCAGAGCAGCCTCTACAGTGACAATTGTCCTCTGGTCAGTTCAACGGAAGGACTCCAGGCTCTCCTGGGGATGGAGACTGTGTGTCCAGGTTCAGGGCTTGGGCTTTATAGGGCAGAAGAGGGAACTCTGGGAGGAAGTTTATCAGTAAATGTGTTCTCTATAGTTTCATGAATGATGCCAATGGAAGTTCTCCTTACTGTGCTGGCTTTCTTGTCAGGCAGGTGTGCTGTTATGCTGAGTCGGGGACTCTCAGCTTGTCAAAGGTTTCTTCTTTTAGGCCATTAAGGTCATTTATCTTACCATGAGGACAAATAAAAAGGGGAGAGGTGAAGTCCCTCATTAGCTGCTTCCTGAGGCAGGATAATGATACAGGTGGGGCTAGGCTCTGTCCCAGGATTTAAGGGTGCATAGGTTAGGTTGAGTTCTTGTAGAAGGAAAAGAGTTTTAACTTTATCTGTTGAGGTGGATCATGTGATTGTTGTCATTCACTCCTTGAAAAACCTCTGAAAACAATTAATTACACAAAAGGGCTATAATGAGTAAGATAAGACTGTAGATTAGGGGACCCAGTAAGCTCCTAGCCAGGGCAGCCATTGTCCTAGTATGGACCTCGTGGTGGCAGTGATTTGATCTAGGAGGAACTTGTGTAAATCTTTTAAAGGACAGGGAAAATGGAAGTGTGAGGATAAGGAGGAATGGAGAGACCAAGGGGAGGAGTCAGAGTGGAAGGGACCAAAAGTCCATCCTTAGGAAGATGACTGTCAACTGAATCTTGGTCTGCTCCTTAATTAAATCTTTGGCCTTTCTAACAGCTTGGGTTTGTTGGTGCAGAAGCAGCACTGTTCCTGGAGGAGGGCACAGTTCCCACCACCAGCAGCAGACAGGAGATCCAGGTCTCTAACTTTGGAGAACCACAGCAGCAAAGACTTGGCTCAGGCCTAGCCATGGAAAGTGATGGAGAGGGAGGAGTGGGAAGGTGGGTATCTGGAGAATGGAAGGTGGAAAATGTAGGGATGGAAAAGCAAGAAGATGGAAGGATGCAGGACATGGAACAGGACAGCTGGGAGGATTAAAGGATGTGAATCAAGGGAGAACATTTGGGGGACGCAGGAAAGGGATGTTGGGATTCCAGGGACAGGAGCATGAGAGGATAGGAAGACAGGGATGGAGGATGCAGGGATGGACTGTGCAGGACACTCACTATTCTGTGTTCCTCAGCTTCTTCCTTTTCTAGTGACCCACTCTAAGGAGGTCAATCCTTCAGCCATTACTGTGACAGAGGATAAGGTAGGGAAATGTAGCACAGAGGGGGACTCAAGAGTCCAGTCTGTGTTTAGGCTAGGCTCTGTAAAGGAATTTAGAAGTCTCCTATCCCTGGACACCACATGGGGGGAACAATACAAAGCCAACTAGCTGGAAGGATAAATTACTGAGAGAAAAACCAAAGAGGCACATGGACAGGTGTGGGGAACCAGACCAATTCAAGGCTTTCCCAGAGGCCCTGATGAAAATAGTTGTGTGTTCTTGCCAGGAATGGGCTTGGCAAGGTCAGTCTGACACTGGAGACAGTGCCTCCTCAGAGAGTCAAGGTTCCTGTTTCTGGGGACCCGACTCTTCCTCCTGAGCTGTGGTTATCAGTCCTAAGGCAGCTGTGCCTGAGGTATTACATGTGTTCTTTGTCAACATTGTCTCAGTTAGTTCTCTGCTGACCTTAGCTGCTTTCCCTAGTGTAAATAGTATATATGATGCTTTACTTCTATGGTGGCCAGAGAGACTCCATCTTGTCCTAGGCCTCCATCTTAGTATCTGATAACCTTTTGTCCCAGATGCAAATTCTTGCAAGATGAGTCCCACCAAACAAACCTGACTTGGTGACCCCCACCCAGAAATGTGTAGTTGTGGCCATCTGCTTTATTATATTATATTATAAGGGCAGGACTAGCTGCTTTTTTCCCACTTCTGTAACTTACTTATACAGATAGTAAGAGATTATGTTCAGGTCATCCTGACCACTCAATCTTGGCAAAACAGATCAACTCTTTGCTTGCTTCATTTCCTTGCAGTTTTCACCTATAGAAACCCTTCCCTTGACACAGCCATGGCTCTTGGCCTTGGCAGACTGAAATCAACCATGAGCCATCAATCACAGACACCATATGGTGGGTGAGTACAGGATGGGGAAATGGTAGCGAGAAAGAGAAAGAGAAGGGGGGAGGCAGAAGGATTCATATGCTAGGGAGAGATGCTGATTTAAAGATGAAAGGGTGGTGAGGAACAGGCTGACATGGATGGCCTGCTCACCAGTTGGGGCTATGGTGATGATGTCTGGGGCTGGGCTGCTGCCAAGGACCATGTCTTGGTCTGTGGCCCTGACAAAGCTCTGGGGGCCTGTGTTGATGTCTTTGGCTCCTGTTACCACCAAGGTCCCTGCGGATGACCAGAGTTTGGGCCACAATGTGTGAGTATGTTGGTGTCCAAGGGATGTGCCCCCACAGTGGCCATGCTGATCTAAGAGGCCTGTGCTGGCCCATAGGACCATGGGGCCATTCCAATCTAGAAGGCTGGTGCTGCTGCCCAAGAACATGGTGATGTCCAGGCACATACTGCTGCCAAGGGCTATGTCTGAGTCTGTGGCCCTGCTGTGGCTAGGCTGTGTATTGATGTCTGTCGCTTCTGTCATCAGTGAGGGCCATACAGAGGCCCATAGTCTGGACTGACACCTGAGGCCATGTTGGTCTTCGATGGTCAAGCTGCCACAGGGGCTATACAGATCTTGGTGGCCTATGCTGCCACCTGGGGTCATGATGTCATTTGGACCCAAACTGGGGCTGAGGACCATATCTGTGTCTGTTGCCCTATCACAGCCAGGGTCTGTGTTGACATTTGTGAATCCTGTTATCATTGAAGGTAACAGGTAGAGCAAACACCTGTTTGGGCTGCCACCTGGGGACATGTTAGCATTTGGGAGCCATGGCATTGGGACCATGCTGATCTGGGTGACCTGCAAGGCAAACTATGGACATGACAATATCCAGGCCTGGGCTGTTGTCAAGGACCATGTCTGGGTTCATGGTCCAACCACAGCCTAAGTCTGTGTTGATGCCTAAGTCTGTGTTGATGTCTATGGCTCATGTTGCCACTGAAGGTCACAGGAATCTTCAGGATCTGGGCCACGACCTGTGCCCTTGTTGGTGCCTGAGGACTATACCACTGCTGGGACCACACGAACCTCAGTAACATGTGCTGCCTTATCACCCAGGGCCATGGCATTATATGGGTCTGAGTTCTTGTTGGGCTAGCTCTGGGTTCATGGCCTTGCTGCAGTCAGGGTCTGCATTGATGTCTGAGGCTCTTGTTGCTATAGAAAACCATGTGCATGCCCAGGATCTGGACCACCACCACCACTACCAGGGGCCATGTTGGTGTTCAAGGGCCATGCTGCCACTGGGTCAATGCCAATCAGAGTGACCTGCATTACTAACTGGGGCCATAGTGACATCTGGGCCAGGACTGCTGTCAAGGGCCATGTCTGAGTTCATGGCCCTGCCACAGCTGCAAGTCTATCTTGATGTCTGGGGCTCCTGTTACCAGCAAAGTCAGTGAGGACAGGGCTTCATAGACATGGGTGATGGGCCTGACTTTTACTGTGTATAGAATTATGGAGAATTGGTCTTACCCCTTACCAACTGCAGCACTTGGGAGAGTAAGCCCTGTGCCATGCCTGGGCAGCATAGCAAAGTTGTCACTGCTGGCAGGGGTATGGGTGAGCCAGTCCTGAAGGCATGAGAGTGGGAGAGAGCTAGCCTCACTGTCTGTCATGCAGTGGTCTAGGTAAGGGAGAGACACACTCCTCGCCTCTCAACCCTTACCACCTACTGCAGGATGGAAAAGCTAGCCCTGGGGTTACAAGAGTGGGAGAGCTGATCCTGCTCCTCACTGGTTGCAACACTTGGGAGAGCAGGCCTTGCACCTCACCCGAGCAACACAGTAAAGTTGTCCCTGTTGATGGGGGTGTGGGTGATCTGGCCCCATGAACGTGCATCAGAGATCTGGTCCCACCCCTCATCTGCCATACAGTGGAGTGGGTGGGTGAGGTGCCCCTCACCACCTGTGGCAGATGGGAGAGTAGGCTGTACACCTTGCCTGAGTAGCAAGCTAAAGCTGACTCTGTTGGTGTGGGTGCAGTTAAGCCAGCCCTGAGGGCATGAAAGCAGGAGAGCTGATCCTGCACCCCTTATATTCCCCCCTACAACAATTGGGAAAGCAGACCCATCACCTTCCCTGGGCAAAACAATAGAGCTGGCCCTGGTGATGTGAATGTAGGTGAGATAGACCCAAGAGCATGAGAACAGAATAACTGGCCCCACTCCTTGCTGCCTGCTGCATTGGGTGAGCTATCCAGGGCAGAACTGGAGACCCTGGGTGGTGATGATAAGGGAAAGCTGGAGGACTGACCAATTCAGCTACCACCCAGGGGTATTAGTTAGCCCTCCCCAACCTCCACCTCATCTATGAACTGTTAGTGCATGTGAAGGGTCCAGATCTACAGAAACAAAGCTGCAGGATCTCCATAACACAAGGCAACAATAGAATATCTAAGAGGAGTCCCAGTGAGGGTACATTATTGATAGTGTAGCAGAGGCCAGAGGCCTCAAATCAGACCAATGATTCATAGCAATTAACACTTGCAAGTAAAGATATAAGGTCTAAAGGATATGTGGTGTGACTCACTAAGACACACTTGTTGCTTCCACATTGAGAATTACTATTTGTTTGTTTGGTTGGTTTTGGTTTTCCTTTTAAATTTTGTTTTGTTTGGGCAAGAGAGGTTGCCCAAGTGCAAAGGGCAGATACCAGGGAATGGGAAAATGAGTGGGATTGGTTTGCATGTTGTGAAATCCACAGAGTCAATAAAAAAAATTTTTTTTTAAAGAAAATAAACATTCTGAAAAGGTGAAGGCAGAATGGAAAAAGCAGAGTGTACCTTTCTTTGAGCAAAATGGTCTAAGTGATCACATTATTTCCATTTATACTAAAAATGAGAGCCATTGGAAGAAAAAAAAATCTAAACAAGAAAACAACAAAAAAAGCAAAGCCAAAGAGTAAATACCAAATGGCAAGAGGAAATCCTGCAGAAATATCAGAAATAGCATAGAAGGCACAGACTATATAAAAATGAACAAATAAAACAAAAATAAAAATGGAGGGGGGGAACCTTCCCTAAATCTCTTCTTGGTGTCAAGACTTTCATCCTGCTGGCGGTAATAATTAATATATTTAATTGTAATTGGATCAACTCTGTGGTCTTTTCCTGATGGTCTCAAATTCTATAACATTTCTTAATAAACTTTCTTGGCCTAAGTCATCAGCCTATGGAAGTCCTCCTGGTTTCAGCTATTGCTTTTGTCTTTTTACTTCTCATCTCCAGTCCTCCCACTCAACACCTCACCATTTGGGATCCATATTCCTGAAGGTTTGGCTCAAGTTGCACCCAATATGGGTTATAAGTACAGGGAAAATCATCAAGAGTGAGTATGGCTGTGATAAATATATAGAGTAAAAGAGTCAGATTAGTAGACTCTTTGAAAATAATAAGCAAACAAGTAAAATAAAGGTTAAAAAAAGAAAAAGAAAAAGAATTGGGATAGATGTGAGTTAAAATTAAGACAGCTGGATTTTAAAAAAGCACACCCCTCCCCAGATACTTCCTTCCCTTCTTCATTCTAGTTCTTGTAAAATATTGCTAAAGCACTTATAGAAGTTCTTTGCCTTCATTCTGAAAGCTTTCTCTTAGTTCCCTAAATTGGTCCATAAATTTAAAGACATGGGAATGTGTAGGTGGAAGTTTAAAGATAACATATTGCCTATGAGAGTCACATGTGTTTCCCATTGGTGAATTTGGACTGTGATATTTGAGTGGAGATCGGTTAGATTCACTGCATAAATGATTCAGTTGTAGTTAAACACTCCCATAAATCTAGTCAGTCTACTCAAAATCAGATAGGGGGACAAAAGCTAAAACTAGAAAGAAAAATAAATAAATTAAAAAAAAATCCCTGAGGAAAAGGAAGTGGGGCCAATTCTTGAAATATTTTTGTTTCATGATGCCTCAGAGGATAAAGAGGGTTTTTTTCTCCTTTTCCTTCTTTACTCCTTTTCCTTCTCATTCCTTCCCCTTCTTCTTTCCCTGATTCTCTTCTTCCTCCTTTGATAATGCAGTTTTAAAGTTACCGCAAATGTCTCTGACTAGTTTAGTTAAGCCGTCAAGTGTCCTCCTCTTTTATCATATGCAGGATTAATAAATCACCTTTCTACCCTTCATGTGCAGAAGCCAGAGAATCCTGAGCCCCTTAAAAAGTATTTTGGACAAAAAAGCCTTATTGTTTTCTTTTGGATTTTCCCCACTGAAGCAGGAGATTTTGCAGCAGAGAAAAAGAGAAGCACAGCAGTTGAAATGTGCTGGCAGAGACCCTCCTCACTACGGGCTTGAGAGGGAGCTGCACAGACAGAGGAGGAAGAGAGGCTACCACAGGGAGAAAGACAGGGTGAAAGTGCCTGCAGAGGAAAGGCAAACATTAACTCAGACAACTCAATTCATTTCTACACATTGGGTTTTACCAGCTCAAATGTGGATGCTAATCAAGCTAATGAGCGCCTGCCCCCATCAAAACAAAACAGCTGCTGTTGCCAAATTGTCTTGTGACAGTTAGGTTTGAGTTAGTGACTCTGGAATATGGGATTTGGTACTTCTATCTCAAATTAAAGCATGTTTTCTTCCTTGTATGTTCTTAACCCCTTGCCTGGGTCAGAATGACCTTCCGACTTGATGACAAAAAAGAAAAGAAAAACAAACAGCCTAAGGTATTATATACATAGAAGTTAAAACTGAGCTGGTAACATTCCTTAGACAGACTTGGGAAATTGACTCTATCCCCTCTCCTTTTCTCTTTCTCATCTGAAAAATCCACTGCTCTCTTACTACCTATTGGCTCAGCTTCCCTGAGTCAGAAAGACATTTATGATTTTAATGTTTTAGTTACAGAGTTTTTATATGAATCACACTAACATACTATCAAAAAAGCTAACACTTTAAGATTGACAATTTCAACAACAAAACACACACACACACACACACACACACAAATCAAGAAATAATTATAGCTACTGTCATTAAAGAGCTACTAAGGTAGGTTCTGCTGGGTCTTGATGCCAAAAGAAATTATTGCTTCAGAACAGGTAAAAGAACCACCCGCCCTCAGAATCTTTCCAAGCACTTGGTTCAGAGCCCAAAGACCCAAGCCACTGATACCCCCTCCCACCCACCACCCAACAGCTGCTGCCATGGCCCTGGTGGATATCACCTGCTCAAGTGCAGGCCATGGTAGTCAGAAGAACACAGACCCCCTCTGCTGGACCAAAGGTCACATTAGCTGCCAGAAATCCAGCCCTAAACTCTGATGGAGACCTCCTGCTAGACCAGAGGTCACACCAGTCGCCAGAAATATAGACCACAAAGATCAGAAGACCAAAGAAACAGAAACCAATGAATAAAACACCCATCCAACAAAGAAAAACTCAGAAATTGGCACCTAGACTATATTCATTCCAACTCAGATGCCTAGATGCCAGTGTAAGAACACAGTAAACATCTAGAGCAATATGGCACTATCAGAGCCCAGCTATCTTACTACAGCAACCCCTAAATATTCCAACACAGCTGAAGCACAAGAAAATGACCTTAAAAACAACTCTATTAATGATGATAGAGATCCTGAAAAAGGAAATTAATGAATCCCTTAAAGAAATCCAAGAAGTCATTGTTTTTCTCTGTTGAGTAGTATTCCATTGTGTATATGTACCACATTTTATTTATCCATTCTTCACTTGAAGGGCATCTAGGTTATTTCCAGGTTCTGGCTATTACAAACAATGCTGCTGTGAACACAGCTGAGC